GAAGTAGAAAAAAGCGAGTGACAAGAATACTAAAAATTCAATCGAAATTTTCTATTTTTTGAAGAAAAAAAAATTGAAAATTGAAAATCTAAAACAGGAATGGTATTAGTGTGTGAATAGTAGATTCATACTAATTTAATCACAATGATGATGATGATGATACGAACAAGAATCGAAAACGAAAAAAAAACTATAAACTCGATTATTGTTGGATGGGCTTTTTCTCATTTACTTTTCATTCATTCATTCATTCATTTTTCTGTACACACAGACGTCATTGGCAAAGATTTGGTTGCATTTTGGTGAAAATTAAAATTGAAATGAAAAATAATAATAATAATAATTCTTGCCCTGTATTAGAATTTTCTACAGAAACAAAACAAAAAACGTAACCAAAGAAAAAAAAAGGAGAAAAATTGCGAATTGATGAAACTCACGTACTCAGGACTTTTTTGGTTATACCCGTAAGTGTGTTTGTGTGTGTTTTTCGCTTTTGGATCACCCGTGTGCCTAAAGTTTACTTAGAAAATCAAAAGAAATAATGTCACAATGGTGGTGGTTGTATACGGTGGTGGATGTTCAACTTTATATATATCATTTGGGATTTTCGATTTGGTTGCAAAAATGTATGAATGTTTTCAGTATAAGGAATCGATCGATACCAATCAAGACAATCATCATACAAATATAACTATCCATTTTCAAGAAAAAAAGAAATTCAACAACTAAATTGAATAGAAAAACAATTTCCAAAATTTTTTTTTATTTCATTCACTCATAAATGAGACACGTTTTTTCTTATACTCAAATAATATTTGTAATGACAAATGTATCAGAAAAAAAAAGAAAAACTTTTGCAAAACTAATCCAAGATTCACACAGAAATTGTTGATGACAATTTGAAAAACATTAATCGATTTTTCATTTTTGGATAAAACAAAGGTAATAATCAGTTTATGTGGGAAAAAATGAATTCTTAAATGAATGAAATAAATATTAAGATTTTACTCTCGAATATATTGTCTACACACAATTTCATTGTCGATGATGATGAATCCGTTATCATATCTTAATTCCATTGTAATGTAATGTGCATGAAAGTCTTACGTATTTCATATTATAAAATCAGTGTGTTGTGTGTGTGTGTGTGATAAGTGATGATGAGGTAAAGTGATGATGAGGTAAAGTGATGATGAGGTAAACGTGACTGGAGAGCCAAAAAAAACAAAAGAAAAAAGCTGTCGTCTTCAAATTCTCTCCTGGAATTCTCCTGGTCAGGAATACAACGATTATTTTTCTTAGTTGTGAAATGAAACTCGCGTTTCATCGTTCATCAAGCACACACACACACACTTTTACTGAATCTCACGAACAAAGAATATTATTAGTGTGTGTAGTACCAAATATTAAAAGAATCGACATGGAATTTTTTTTTCCTCGTTGTTGTTAACATTGAAACAACCATATAATCATAATATTAATGATTATAAAGCTCCCCTGAAAGAATGAAAAATAAAAATAAATGGTAGCCCTCATCATTCTTTCTTTCAAACATCAACATCATTGAATTTACGAAATATATAAAAGTATCAAGGATGTATTATCACAGAAAAAAAAGAAAGGAAAGAATAGAGAAAGAAGAAGCCAATTTGCAAGTTGAAAGCTCCTTAGAGAATCAAAGATTCATTCATATGATGAAATTGTACGTGTGTGTGTCGTAGCCATTCTTTCAGGTATATATTTTCACATGACATGATAAAATTTTACCAAAGAAACAAAAAAAAAATAAATGCAAAATGGCAATTAATTTTATTTTTAAGAGGAAGAGAAAAAAAATGTCATATTATCTTGGTTAAAGATATGAAATTAAAGGTTTAAAGTATGAAAAATATTCCTACTCATTATATTTTATCCTTTTTTTTCAAAAGCAATTGGTTAATGGATGAATTTCAAGTGTTTAAAAAAAAAAATCAAAAGTACTTTTAGATGAATGAAAGAGTGCGTGTGTGGAACACCTGAAATCCTTAAATGGATGTTTTTTTTAGGCTCCCAAATGGATTCTTATATCCATTTTTTGTGTTTCGTTGAACAGAAAGGTACCTGAAACTTTTTTTCTGTGGAATGGAAAATGGTAATGAATATTTTTCTTTTGAACAGCAAACAAAACAAAAAAGTTTTATGCGACAATTTTTCTTTCCAAGTAGTGAAATAAAAAAATGGTCCATTTTGTATAATAATTTAATGTTGATGCCAGAAAAAAAAATATTATGAATCTTTAAAAAAAAATAGAAAATAATTTCATTTGAAACAAATAGAAAGATTTATTTTGAAATAACACTGGGTGATGTTCAAAAAAAGTGTCAATTTTGATAATAGACTTAATGCCCATTGAGTGGGTGAAACAAAATCACCAACAAACACAGACACACACACAGGTTTCATCTTGAAAATTCGTTTTTGTTTCAAAAAAGTAATAAATTATTCTATTAAAATGAATTCTCATTCATACAGGAATGAAGAGAAAAACAAAAACGAAAAAAAAATCCATTTGCATCATTGAAAAAAATTATAATAAAATTCATTCCATTTCAAAAAAAAAAAAAATGATTAGATGCTGAATCAAAATCCTGAAATCTAATAAAAGTCAATATTAATTAGAGAGATTTCTGTCTAACATTTCTGTCCTTTTTTCCAATGATGATGATAAATTTTTCTCATTTCGTTTTATCGCCAACAATATGAATTTTGTTCAACAAAAACCAAGCACGTATGAACATTCCAGAAAAAAAATGTTGGTTACATTTCAAATTTAATCACAATGTATTTGTCCAGAAACAACCAAAAAAAAAGAATCCTTAAACGATTACAACGAATTTGATAAACAAGAATAAAATACTAATCATACTAACAAACATGACAACAACAATAATATTATTATTATTGATTTGCTGAGATCAGCATTAAAAAAAAGAAACATCAATTGATTCGATGATGTTTTTGTTTCATTCTCTCTCTCTCTCTCTCCCTAAATACACCTATGGCCAATGTTGTCGTTATTCGCAATGAGAAGGGTCATTTTCCTTTTTTTTACGCTTCGTAAAAGATCATCAACACCAATTGATCCGAAAATGTTGTTTACGTTGTTGAAAGGAAGGAATGAAGGTTGTCATACCTCTGTGTTTTTATTCATGAATAGTTTATATATATGAATTCTCGATACATGTGTTGCCTTTCTCTTTTTTTTTGCTCTATCCATCTAACCGTGTTTTTTTCCAAAATATGTGCATCATTAAAACAATTGATCTTATTTCTTTTTTGTTTCAACTTGAACACAATTCAAGTTTACAAAACGACAACCATCATCATCATCATATCCCAAAAAAAGTGCATGTGTATGGGTCAGATGTTTTCAATGTTATAAATGTGAAAGCAAGCAAGCAAGCTGCTAACATCGATGAATTTGATTCATTTTAATGCCATCATCATCATTGTAGCAGGATCGTTAATCTAATATGTTCTGTAGAATAGAAAAAAAAGAGAATTTCAATGTTGTTTTTTCATTCTGAGAAGCGAGAACGAAAGCCTATCAAGGTATGAAATTGATATTGAGAATATTTTTTTGCTGGAATTGTATAAATAGACAAGCGAAAGTGGAAAAAAAGGTCACCAGAATTTGAAAGCAAATTGAATTCCAATGATGGAATGAATAAACAGAATGAAAAATAGAATACGATGTGAAGAAGAAAAAAAAATCGATCTTTAGTGAAAAAAAAAAATAAATCGAAGTAGTCATTAAATGGCCCTGTTTACACACACACATTGATCAAGGAACCCAAAAAAAAACGAAAATGAAAAAAAAACAATAGAGCTTGTGTATGTTGATGACATCCGATCGAAGACAACAGAAGAAAAAAAATAGAATAAAATAATCAACAACAAAATAAAATACCGAAAATGAATGAAAATGAAAAGAAAGCATCATCATCAATAGTAGATGAGAAAAAAAAATCATTGAATGGTTTGAACTAGAAATTAAGCGACGAACCTTAATTAGATAATTAAGCATCGAACCATCAGCAATAGCAGCAGCAACAGCAGCCACAATTCTGATGATGATGATGATGATGACAATGACACCAATAGATTCACCACCAAATAAATAAATAAAGCTAGGATAGATAGAAAGGCATCAAACCATGAAAATGATTCGATTGGAATCTAAAAATTTTGCTGTTGTTGTTGTTGTGTGTTTGCGTGAAAATTGGCGGCGGCGATGGCGGTTTTGCCTGAATATTATAAAAGATTCATGAAACACATTTATATGTGTATAAAATGTATAGCGAAAATAATGATGATTAAATAAAAGCAAAGAGAGAGAGAGAGAAAGGAAAAAAAAGATAATTAAAATAATTTGGAACCAATGTGAATCATTTAAACAAGTATAGTGACGACGACGATTAATTTCATCATCATCATCAACTAAAGCTAGAAATACAATACGGAGCAAAAAAAAATAGGCGAGAATCAAGTCATCCGGAGAGATATCACCAACTAAAACAAATGATACCTGAATATATTTTTTTTCACAAAAAATCCATTAATGAGCCTAAAGAATCACAGAGAAAACAAGAGATAATTTTTTTTGTTGGTAAATTTTAGTTTTCCACCAAGAAACATCCATTATTTTAAAGAAAAAAAACCAAAATGATTGTTTAAAAGCCTGAAGGTATTCCTCCCCCACAAAATGCAGATCAAGAATAGAAAATGAAATAAAAATATATTCAAATTTTCAAAGTTTTTCATTTCATTTCATTGCATAGAAATTCAATTCATTTATTCATTTTTTTCACCGGAAGGGTAACAGTTTTGTGATCCATAAACAATGAATTTGAAATGTAGCTAATATTTTTCAAATTTTTGGAAATCAGGTTATATTGCATTTTTTTGAAAATGTAAAAATAAATATGATTGTGAAAAGTTGGAAAAAAAAATAAACTTACATTTTGGATGTTGATTTTTACTGCTATTATTGCTGCTACCATTCGAATGATGATTCTGATGATGATAATGTTGATGAGAATTTTGGTTTGAATTAGTTGGTTTGGTCAACATTTGGTTTGATTCATTGATGAGTGTTGTTGTATTGTTATTGGAAGGCATAAAAGATGTACCATTCGATTTGGATAATGTTAATGGTAATGGTGGTGGTGGTGGTTGATGAAGCGATGATAATGATAATGGTCCATCGGTAAGAATTGATGATGATGAAGAATGTTCACGTAGGACGGTTTCAACCGGAATACAATCTAATGGTTGACGTATTGATCCATTTAATGATGATCCAAAGCCATTCGTTTCAGTCAACATATCAACATCAGGTTCAGTATCGACATCAACATCAATCTCATAATCATCATCATCTTCATTATTATTATTATCATTACCACCATGGTGTTGATTATGAACAACATCATCAACAGCCATTGTAGTATCTTCATCCGCATCATCATCATTTTCATCATTAAGATGATGATTATTCGATTTCGATGATTGTCGAATATTTAGATTCTTTATATTTGATTGTTTAGTTTTAGTATCATCATCATCATCATCATTGTTATCGATTGTTTTTGATGTTTCATTAGTTCCATTAGGTATAGAATATTTTAATGGCTTCTGTTCATTCGATAGATCAAAATCAACTTTATCGTCGACGTTCAAATCCGATGATTCTGTTTTGATTTTTATAATATTTATTAGAAAAAAAAGAATTAATTTCATAAGGTATAAAATAGTTTTCTGATAAACATTACGAAAATGAAAATTGGAAAACAAAATGAGAAAATGAACACTAATCATTATTTTGATTTTTTAGCCACCAGCATAAGTTTCTAAGATATTCGATTCGATTCTACAGTAAACATTTGAGTCCCCCTTTGAATGTTAATCTTTGTTCAATAATAGCGATTATTGAATGTGATTACACTATAAACACACACACATACACACAAAGAAAAGGAGATAGTTACGAAACAAATGACTTCATGATAATGATTATTATGATGATGCAAACAGGAGTAAAGATTTTTGTTCTTGGAACTACAACAAATCACATTTGCACCCAAAAAAAAAAATGAAGGGAAAGAAAAGGAAACAATGAAGAAAAAAAACGCTTACAAACTTAATGATATTTTTCTGGTGATAGCGGTGAGTAACCAAATAACAACAACAAATTCCAAAGAAAAGAAAAATCACAGTTTAATAATCAAAGCACATTTAAGAGAGAAAAACAACTGAATTATTCGATGAAACAACTGGGCTAATATCAAATCAACTGAATATATTCTATAGTTTAATAGTTTATACATCAGTTTCTCATTACCATTGGTAAAACGTATTATTATCGTTTTTTTCCTGATTCCTTTTTCATCATTTTTATCATCCCGTTCAATACACAGACAGAAATAAACTCTTTTTCTTATTATTCCATCGTGTGTTCCGCGTTCCGTGTGTTTTGAATTAACGTTTACAACGGTAGAATCAATACTTTTTTCAAATCAAGTAGATCAAAATGAACCATCATCATCATCATCTAAACATCGTCTTACACCATAAATGCAAAAGAATATACCGTTAAACAGGCCAAAAAAATAAAAACATCTGCCTCACTTATCGTTTTTTTTTATACGAAAACATCTTCATATAAGCATATTAGAAGATTAGACATCAACTACATTATCATCATTTGTTTTGGTTTTTGTTGTTGTTGTTATAAAAAAAACTTGTAAAAATTGAAGATAGTCAGTCAGGGAGATTCAGGTATGATGATGATGATGATGGTAAGCTAAAAGCAAAAGAAAAATATTCAATATCGAAAAAAGGCAGATATTTACATAGAATAAAATATCGAAAAAGATTCTGGATAACAAAAAACAACAACAACAACAACAGAATGGAAAATAAATTGAATTATGATATGTAAGGTATAGAAAGATTTTCTTTTCTTTTCCTTTTTTTTCTCATAATAATATAATAATAATATACTATCATATTCCAATAAAATTAGAATTTGGAATCAAAAATGGTTGAATCCTTGGAAAAAAAAGAAGTAAACTTTTGATAACTGAACTGAAAGAAGAGGAATAAAACGATAAACGATAACATGCTTTATGTTTCTTTTTCTACTTTTATACAAAAAAAACCTAATTGATATGTTTCGATGTAGAAAAAAAATAAAGTTAAAAAAAACGTTTGAAATTCATCATCATCATCATTATTATCGATTGTCATTTGGGTATTATTCTATAATATAATGATCCATTTGAAAAAAAGAAAAATCACTAAAATTCCTTGAATATTATACCTCAACCTCAAGTTTTTTCTCTTCTATCCTATTAGTTTAGCAACAAAAAAAAACAACAACAATCTTATATATGTATTGCACACCGTTATATAAAAAAAAACTTAATGATGATGATGATGATGATAGTGTTATGGGATATACATCTTGACTATTATTATTATATGAGGACAAGAACAAGATGATGATGATGATCATCATCATCAATGATTTCAACAATCAAACCTTGCTACCGATTCAAACAAAACCTACATTGAAAGATGATGTAATTTTTTTCCAAGATTGAAACGGGAATATTATAAAAGTATATATATTGAAAAGAACAAGAAAGAAACAAAGAAAGAAAAAAAAATGTGAAGAACATTAACTTATGTTATCCATGTGGTGGATACAAGAAACATTAATGTATGGTTGTTTCCTTCCTCTATCATGATCATGATGATGATGATGATCAACGAACAAAACAACCAGAATTTCAACGAAAAAAAAAAGTTTCGATTCATGTCTCATCATCATCATCATCAATGTACGTATATGGGAATATATGTCTGGTTCACTTATTCAATCCATCATTATCGAGTTTTTTTCAAACAAAACTAAAAAAAATCTTTTTTTTCAAACAACAAAAAAGAAAAACTGCAATCCTTTTTTCTTCAGTTGGCCTTCCATAAACATTATTGGGTATGTTTGAAATCAACCATTATCATTCAAGGGTTCGACCATTTGTACATTACATAAAACGATCTGGAATCATTTTATTTTATCGAATTTCGTTTTTTTTTCTACTAACACAATGTTGAAAATGGGAAAAAAAGTAACTTTGATTATTGTCATTTTTTTCCTTATTGTTATTTCACTCAGTATTTCAATCAATCAATAATGGAAAAATGGTTATAACCTTTATTATTCTTTCTTTAAAACCAAAATCTTTTACTCGAAAATCAAATAATGATAGGTGTTTAAAAAAGATGTAAAATCAAAACTAATGAATTATACAATCTGAATAAACTGACCTTTTTTCCGGTAATTTAATTTAAGGGCATCAATTGAATCACAATCAACTTGTTTATCCAATTCATCGCAATTATTATTATTATTATTAGAAGTTTTCACTTTTGTTGTATTGCGATGATCATTATAGAATGATGATTGTTGTATTGGATCACTGTTTAAAGTGGGTATTGGTTCTGTATTCGATGTTCTAACATCAATATCTATATCAGGATTGGTTTCATTGTCATCATCATCATAGGCAACATTTGATAATCGTTCAACTTCGATACAATTCTCTTCGGATTCAGTGTCGGTTGTATCGGCAGAATTATTATTTTCATTCGCAATGATTATTAATTTTGATGTTGCATTATTCTTCATGATTGTTTGTTTTGTTGTTGATGATGAAGATGATGATGAAGAAGTGGAGGAGGAGGAGGATGATGATGAATTAACAGAATGATCATATGTAGGAGATAGTTTTTGTCCAACAGATGGCGGTAAAGTAGAGTTATTTGATTTTATGCATTGGCGGGTATTAGAAAAATCCATCAGGTCGCCATCATCATCATCATTATCATTATAATTGGTAAATTGTTTTGAATGATTATCATCATCATCATCATCAGCATTTTGATTTAGATTAGATTTGGACATTTTATATTCTTTTTCGTCGTTGTCGTCGTCGTTGTTGTTGTTGCTGTTGTATTCTTCAAATTCCACTATAGAATTAAAAACAAAAAACAGAAAAAAAACAGGTTAAATATTGAATAAGATGAAAATGGAATGTTAATGAATTGCAAAATTTAAATGAAGAATCAAGAGAAAAATAATAATAATTCAAATGCAAATCACGTTCAACACTTGATTCTAGTGAATAATGATTTATGTAAAATGAAATTTTCTTTTCTTTTTCTTTTCTTTTTTTTTTGATGATCAAAACACCTACTGCAAATATTAACAAAACATACAATGCGTTCGAGGTGTTGATGATGATGAAAGATATCGTGAATTATGACTGCCACGATGATGAAGATGATGAGTATGATGACCAGAATTGGTCGTACCGGTTTTAGCACCAGCAGATACGGAAATCTGTTGGTAAATTGTTGGCTCAAACATCACACATTCACCCACACACAGAATGAAAACAACACAGAATAAACAGGTGAAATTTTTTTTAAAAAAACAAACAAATCAAACTAAACGGCAGTGTTAATATTTTTCATTTGATTGAAACATCATTGATGATGTAAATGATAATTAGAATTGGAAAAAAATCAATAAACTAAAAAATAACATTAATAAACATTGAACATTTGATTGTTTTTGTTTAATGAATTAGTTAATGTTTGGATTGTGGATGCTATTTTTGCACATCATTTTTTTTGTTGAATGTTCGGTTAGAGTTGTTCAATGATCACCGCATGTTTTACGACTGACACTGATCGGACCAAAGACAGCAGCCTAAAAGTTTTTTTTTCATTTTTTTTTCTTCGGTTAGCGGTGTTAACCATGGCCAGGATTAGTTTCGTAGCTGTAATATATTGTGTGTGTGTGTGTGCATGTGTGTCTTGTATGTTTATATCTGCATTTTCGATACAGTTATTCTTGTGTTTCGTTTGCAATGGCAGGCCGGTGCTATGCGTGTTGTGTATAAGTTTTGATGGTACACTACGTTTAGTGCGAATATAAGCAAAACTCACCGCCAATTGAAAACTCAGAGAAGAGATGCCTGCTGAATTGAATGGAATTGGGATTGAAATGAATTGAATTGAATGAATCGAATATATGTTGTGTGTATGGTGCGCCTGTGTATTTGCCGCCAAATGATCCACTACAACGAATATTATGAATCAAATCAAACTGAAAATTGTACCAAAAGAAAAAAACAACGCCTCATCATCATCACATCACATCTACATGTGTGTTTGTGGATGACGTTGGTATACCATTAACTGGTAATCATTATGGTTTTTCAATGTGTAGGTTTTTTTTTTGTTAGTGTTGAAATCTTTCCTATCTGATTATCAAGAATCTGAATTGTGATTGTAATGATTATTATGGTCACACACACACAAACATAGAGAAACAGAGAGAAAATGTGAAACTAAAGACGATATTTTTAAGTTTGAAGAAAAACCTTAAATGAATTATGCCTTGTATATTGATTACAACCAACAAACTACATGTGTGTATTTGTATAAGTCAATGTTTTTTTTGGGTATGGTCTTCAGGCCTTCTCAAGAGTTTTATGTTTATTGTTGAAGTAGAAAATTCTTTACTTTTCCGTGTAAATGTGCACCGCCCGAATTCAAATGAATGTGAAAGGAACAAGTTTTTCTTCTTCTGCTAATTAGAACCACATACATGAAATTCATTTTCATTGATTTTTTTCCATTCATATATGAACCACATTTGAAATAAATAAAACTAATGTGTTTGTGTGTGTATTTTTTTTGGATGAAAAACAGATCAATTGATAATTGATTGGACATATGGTAACCTTACAATTTTACATATGTTATACATAATCAATAAAAGATTGATAATGATTAACGAGAAAAACAAAAATTGTCATGTATGATTACCTCTATTTGTTTTTCACAGTTAATATTATATTTTCGAAAAAAAAATTGAAAATAAATGACTTTTTTTTCTGATCTGAAATGATTCCAGATGAAAAAACAACAACAACAACAACAACTTTTAAATAATTTTATGAAAAAGTTGCATAGTAATTAGTATTAAGAAAGAGTTGAAAAGTCAATGATGATGATGATGATTCATATTATATCATTTTATTATTCTACTTATTATTCACATTTCAGTCATTAAACATATAGAAAGCAAGATTGAGAATTTGTTTTGTAATTATATTCAGTTTGTGATGATGATGATTCAATAATATTTAAAAGTATACATAAAAAAAAGGGTAATTCATTTAGTATGATCTGGGAAACAAAAAATTATTAATATCCATATTATATTCATCCCTAGAATATTCGTTTTAGCCTATTATTAACAAATGTCATCACACACACACACTGGCAATTGAAAATTGAATTGGGAAAAAAAAATAAAAGTGACAACAGAATCTCATTGAATCTCTATGTATTGGTGGATAGTTTTTTTTTGCCTATCTATTCATTCATTCATTCATTCATGATGGAGAAGAAAAAGAAAAAAAATGTATAGAGAAATCAGTATATGAATCAATTTGTCGAAACAATCAACGAACTAACTAACTAACTAAATGAATGAATGAATGAATGAATTAAATGAATGTACTTTTTTTTAGTTTCCACACACACACAATCGTACATGCATCGTTTGCCTGTTATAATAATAATAATAATATTCATATTTGTATGAAAAAAAACCTAACGAAAAAAAAATGAAATGAAACGAAAGAGAAATATTCATAGACATCCCTTCTTTTACTCTTTTTTTTTCTTTTTCTTCTATGAATGTCAATCGCCATTAAAAATCCTATAGTAAAAGTTGGAAATTTTTTTTTTGATTACACCATGGTGATCATTGATGATGATGATGATGATGATGGCAATCAAATGCTAATAATCAGCCATCATAGTTTTCTACGATAAAAATATACCGAATGAATTTTGTGAACCGAAATAGCCAATATAATGTTCAGCCAAAATGAAAAAAAACTGACTTTTTTCACTGATTTGGTTTGCATTATTATTATTATTATTATTAATATTAATCTCAGCATCATCAACAGCAATATGAATAAAATGGCAATCACATTGCCATCATTATTAGAAACGGTAATTAATTACAATACTGACATATACAGATGAACATTATGATTATAATCTTTTTGATGATCCTGAACATAACGGAATTATAGAAAGAAAAGTGTACCAAAAAAAAAACGTTTGTCATTCGAAATCATTCGTATGAAATTTATAAAAAAAAAACTGAACGGAAATCACCAAGCTAATCAAGTAGCGAAACTAAAAAAATTTTTTTTCGAAAAAAGAAAGAATTGGAGCGAATCAATTAACACATTGAAAGTATTTGTGTGGATGAGAAGAAAATTTTTTTTTTCATGACATCCTGGAACACTTGACACAATTGTTCATTGGATCATTGGATAAAACAAAAATATTTTCATTCGTTACAAATTTGAAAAAACAACGAAATGAAATGAAAGTGTGAGCATATCGGATTGAAGAAAAAAAAAATAACAAATTGTCGTTGACAATTTATAACCATGATGATGATTATGATGATGATAATAATAATAATAATGATGTCATAATGTCATCATTATTATGCCCATAAAGCATCTTTTTTTTGAATAAAATTAACCCCTAGTTCTTTTTCTTTTGCTTGGTTATCCACGGAGAGTGAGTGAGAGAGAGAGAGAGAGACAAAAACAAAATGAAACAAGTCTACAAACGGAAAAACAAAATGATAATCATAATAATAATAATTCTTCAACATACAATGGATTTGGAATGGAAAAAAAATGAAATTTCATTCATCTACACTTTTTTTTTTGCTGGATGAATCGAAGAACGATCAACGATAGAGAGCAATGAGAATATTAAATTATTTTTTTGTTCCATAGAATAAAAAAAATTGAATAGAATGCATAAATAATGTTTTCATTTTATTCAATCATATCCGAAAATTTTTGTTATTATCATCATCATCATCATCATCAACCACAATAAAAGATTTGATTTCATTTGATTCCAAACATTACACACTATAGTGACAAACTATCTGGTTAATTCATATAACCAACAACAAGAGAGAAAAAACCACCACCGACAACAGAATTAGCAACAAAAAATGAGACCATTATCACTATGTGTTTCTTGTGTTTCATTACTTATTTTTCTTTCTTATTTTTTCCATAATCGGATCTATCTATAATGATATCTATTGAATCAAATGTTAATGTTTATCATTAGGCAATATTTCAACGAATAAAAAAAAATTTGTTTCGATGGGTGAAGGGTCGTCGTAGTCAGTGTGTTTGTTGATGTGGAATCGTTTTTTTCTCCCCTCAACTTATCAATCAAATGATGAAATTTTTTTCTGAAAAAAAAGGAAACAAAAATGTCATAATAATTGTCTTTTGGATGGCAATAATGTTTTTTGATTTCATCTTCAATCTTTGTGTTTCAGGAAAAAATATTCCACTGTCAATTAATCCTTTTTTTTGTGGTTGTTGTAATAACAATTTAGAATCCTAAAATGAATAAGGAAGAAAAAAAGGATTCTTAATTCAAGGAAATCAATTTTAATGGCCTTATCATTCATCTGATAATGATAATGATGATGATAAAAATCTAACATAATGATAATGATGACATGATGATCATCATCATCATTACATATCGGATAGGAGAAATCATAGCCTGAAAAATCATGTAAAACAACTGAATAGATTGATAAAATTGATTGAAATTTTAATCAATAAAAAAAATTTCAATTTGTTTATCAAATTGAAACCAAAAAAAACTAGGAATCAAATTCAAAATTTTACAATGTTTCCATTCATCAATGAATTTTGAAAATTTGATGATAAAAGACTATACTTGCACACGTAATTTGACTAAATCCCATAAAAATTCTGAAACAAACATTCTGAATTCCAAGCGAATTTTTTTAAAAAACAATAAAAAAAATTGAATTGTAGTAATGATTATTGTCTATCAATATTTTTGTATCCAGTGATTATTGTTTATATTTTTCATTTAATTTTGTATTTTTTGCTGTTGTTATTCAGTCAGATTTGATTTGTGTTTGACATCAATAATATATTGTATGCAATAATAATGAAAGGAAAATAAAATTTAATAAATCAAATCAAATTAAAAAGAACTAAAGAATAAGTAAATTCAATGAAGAAAAAAACATCAACGATACGATGCATAAAATTATCAATTTTTATTTTATTGAAAAGAAAGAAAAAAATTTGAAACAGAACAATTTCAATTATCATTGTGTGATCAACATTATTAACGAAATGGAAATGATGATGATGATGATGAAAAATATCAGAACGTAAAAAAAGACAAACTCGTGTTCACTCTGTATGCCCATTGTCAAAATTGTCAAACGTGTCGAAATCTGCCTGCCTGTCTGATTCTTCTGCTGCCAATATTTGTTTGAAAATATTATTATTTTTATAATAAAAAATTTGTTGAATGTGACCGAATCGAAATTTTTTTTT